CTGTACTCATATTCATTTCGTTGAATACCACAGTGAAAAACACAATTCCTTAAGAATTTCTTCTGAACATTCTCGATCAAATCGATATTTACATTGCAGTATGGGTACCATATAACCGAACAATATTGAAGAATGGATCTAACGAAGGCACAATATAAAATCTTTTTTGTTTTAATTGAGGAATTAGTAGAAATTCCCAACACTAAACCAACCATTTCAAGACTTTCAGCCACATTTTCTGATACTTGAGGATTAAAATTAATGTTGCTCACAAATTCAACTCCCAGATCGCGAATAAATGTTTCACTTTTAAGAGCTATATTATTCAATGTATATTCAAAGAATATTGCACTTTTAATTCTAGCGTACGTAATGATTTGACGCTTATCAATATTTACCTCTGACAAATTATTTCTACACCACATGGAAAATACTTCCAGAGAACTGATTCAGCATCTTCCCGGCAAATAATTACTCGATTAAGTTTGAGATCATCAGCAAACATAAGAAATTCTGAATATTTGAAAACAAACTCAATGTCCGATACAAACAAGTTGAACAGCAGTGGACCCGTATGGGATCCCTGCGGTACCCCTGATGGAACCTGAATGGGCGTAGATGTTGTATCTCCGTATCTTACAGACAGAGTTCTACCAGTTAAGAAGTTATTGCTTACTTGCAAGACATTCCCGCCTATACCAAGCGCTTGAATTTTAGATATGAGTAGGCCGTGGTTGCCTCTATCAAAGGCTTTGGAAAAGTCAGTATAGACAGAGACAACCTGTGGCCTCCTCTCAAGATTTTCAGTTTTGAGACCGTTGTAAATAATATAAATGTATCAAATGTTTTTGTTGTTTCTGCATTCAATCGTAATGTTTCTGATGAAAGACATGAACCGTTAAAAATTTGTTTTTTCAGCACATCCTAATACTGTTGCTTTCATTGGACATGGTGGCCTCCTTGGTGTGATGGAATCTGTGTATTTTGGTGTGCCCATTCTGGGAATTCCAACCTATTGGGACCAATACAAGAATATTGAAGATGTTGTGAGAAGAGGCATGGCTGTCAAATTGAACCTACATGATCTTACTGAAGAAACTTTCAGCAATGCTTTGAATGAAATACTCAATAATCCAAAGTGAGTTGATTTTTTGTCGGCATTCAGTGAATTCTCCATTCCACTATTTTGTACACACTGATATATTTGTGACAGATCAGTAACTGCAACAAACAGTTATTGAAAGTAAATCTCTCAGTGCTCTTTGTAAAAGTTTGTGGTAGAATTCCACTAAAAATTTAATACATCTCAACTGAAGTATAGGTTTCGTTGTTTCTATTACAATAAATCTCACAAAAATTATGTAAAGAAGACAAATTTATATCGAAACTATTTCAACTCAACCACGAGTTAGAGGACAAATCTTTGATCCAAAAGTACTACAAACATCATTCTCAAAAATCGTAACACAATTCAGAAGTAGACCTTCATAGACTTTTGACAAAGTAGTTGATGAAATACCTTGCTTATACTGTCGTACAAGTTATATTGGTCAGACATCTAGGAATCTCAATAATCGGATCATGACTCATAAAAGCAGACAGATTGCAGACTAAATGATAATTATTAAGCCCTATCAGAGCATGTGAACCATTACGCTTCTGGTATAAGTTTCGATAAAATAAAATTAAAGGATATCGAGAGTTATTTTTCTGAAAAAACACCTGGAGAAACGCACTGATGTGAACGTTCTCAGGTGAATTGACACATACTTATTGAATCATGATAAAGTATGGGAAACCAGCAAATCAGGAATAGCAGACCATGTTTGGACCCATCAACACAACATCGAGTGGTCCCAAGCTGAGATCCTACACAGAGACATTGTTTAGGAGAAAATTCAAGGAAGCCGCATACATGTTGTCCAACAACGGATTCAGCCAAGCCAGCGTAGAAATACGCAACATATAGAAACCTATCTTCAAGCGAAAAATGACCAACTCCCGCCAAACGGTCATCTCCCACTGAACCAGTAAAGCGGAGAGAGAATATGGTTATTTGTTTGTATTTTGTTTTCTAATTATTATTCGAGTTCTTATACGGTTTTCAGTTTGTTATAATTTTGGTTCACATATTCTTTCAGTTTTGATTTCATTTTACGTTTATAAGGAATGATTCTGATTTCTAAAGGGACTAGGTTTAACAATTTTGGACCAAAGTATGATATACATTTCTGTGTGTGTGTGTGTGTTAGTCTTCAGAGGGGAACATTTGTTTTCTGCTCAGATTTAGTACGTGTGTTGTAAGTATGACTTATCTGATGGAGGTATTTTGCATCCATATTAAGCATTGATAGGTATAGAGTTTTCATACATCAAATTAGCCGGTTTATTTGTAAAGGTCTTCAGTTGAGTACCTTTTATTTTTCTTAAAAATCATTTTTATTATGGTATTTTGCAAAAACCTCTAGACCGTGTAGTAATGTTTTACTGAGACCACTTTTTATAATGATACAGTACCTCAATAAAGATTCAGCGAGTGAGTTGTAAATCACAAGTTAAAGCTTTTCATTATTCAGATTTCTGATTTGATAGAATTTATAAACTAACTTATTGAGTCTCTTAACTGTTTATCAATGTGTTTTTCTCATCGCAGGTGTTGGTCCATATATACACCCAAATACTTCATGTTGTCAACTTTTTCAAATATTGGAAATGATCACTGCGTTGGGGTTCGGCATAGTGATATCCAAGTGAATATTCAATTTAATTACACAAGTCGATCAATTCAGTCAGTATGAAAGTTGTGGGCTCGAGATTCGATGAAGTCGACGAAGGCTATTTTTGCCTGGTATTGATTGGCGAAGGTTCTTCCTGTGAGACAGTTATCGGAGTGCCAGATGAAATAGTAGTCAGTTGGCGAAAGGTCTGGGAAATATAGCGAGTAAAGCAGAACTTCGAAGGTAAATCGTTTGATTTTCGGACAGTGATTTATGAAACGTAGCAGGATTGAAATTCTTCTGTTGGCTAGTGGCGGCTACTGCCATTTCGTCGAATTCCTCACACTAGGACACTGATGTGATGGTTCAACCCAGTTACAGAAAGTTATAGTGAATCACAGCAGCCGCTGGAGATACTACAGTAACCATGGTAGTAGATGAGCAAAGCGGATTCTGTGACAAAAAATGGCTTATCAGTGTTTGTTCATGTGTATCGCTCGGTAAGCGGTAGCGCTGTTATACAGGGTGTGCGCAGTGTTGAAGAAGAAAAGATGGATGCCAGCGTTAAAGAAAAAACATGGCTGTCAGTGTTAAAGAAAAAAATATGGCTGCTATCGAGGTATGCAGGGTGTGTTTGCAGCGTTGAAGAAAAGTTATCATGGAGTTATACAGGGTGTGCACAGCGTTAAAGAAAAAAACATGGCTGCCAACGCAGTATACATGTTGTGTGCAGCGTTGAAGAAAAAACATGATTGCCAGCGTTGAAGAGAAAAACATGGCATCAATGTGTACACGACTCACAACATCTATAGGTATTGACATGATTTGCAGCTACTATTCTATCGCAACTCTTCTCAGTGATAAGAACAAATAGCGTGCACACTATGTTTTGTTCGAAGGTTGCACCGAGTCAAACTTCAAATTTTGCATCCTCTTCTATCGTACGGGCCACTTCGCTCGGACCTGATCTATGTAATTTTTCATTCGCATCACGATATTGTTTTGTGAAGCTCGATGTCTGTCTAGATAGTCATTCAGTCAATTATACTAACACCAAAATTTTCCATTTCGAACCAGATTAAAATAAAAGGCAATTTCTGGAAATGGCTGGAATCAAAATTGAAAAAACAATATGAACAAAAAGACAGACATCGACAACCTCAGCAAAATTCAAGAATCTCTACCACCAAGAAATAAAAAACCTGAATTCATCCTGTAATATTCACACAATATATATCACCGTGATAAACGACATTAAAAAATTAGAAAAAGTATTTCACATTATTCAATGTCAAAAAGTTGTCATTTTCATATTGCAGACTTCTTTCAAAATCAAAATTTCCAACTTAAATATCTTTACTTAGCGCAGGTATGCTGGACAACTGCGGAAGCAGAAATTTGGGAAGCTAACCTGCTACCGCTATTGTCGGTTGATTGGTCAAACCACCAACACTGACATAAAATCTTGTCAAATTGACTTGGGTGCCACACCAAAACGTGGTTCCACTCATGTTTCGCTTGCGTTGACTCAGTTATTTTTATTAAGAACTTTTCTGGTTTTTCACATTTTGTCTTCAGGGGGCCGTGCTCTCTCCCACGCTTTACTCGCTTTACACCAGCGACCTTCCAAAGTCCAAGCATGTGTAGGTATCTCTCTACGCCGACGACACGGCTCTCCTCTCGTCTTCCATGGGTCGGGAGCTCGGGATCGTCTATATGCAACGTGCATTGGGCGACATCGAGCGCTGGTACCTCGAGTGGAACATCCGAGTGAACCCGGAAAAAACTCAGACCATAACCATGAGAAGAACGACATCTTCTCCGGCTATGAAAGTGAGAATATTTGGAAGGGAGGTTGACTGGCAGACGCGGGTCAAGTCTCGGTCTTCTAATAGACCGTAGGCTCACCTGGAACCCGCACTCGTTAAGCGTGAAGGCAAAGACCCAGGGTCAGGTGGCAAGCCTGTATCCTTTGATCAATAGAAAGTTTAAGTTGAGCCTCAAGAATAAAATCACGATCTATAACACGATGTTCAAGTCTGTCATCATGTACGCTTCAGGCGTTTGGGGACAAACGGCTCCGACTAACATCTCCATCCTGGAGACCTTACAAAATAAAATTTTACGGATGATTGTGAATGCTCCGTGGTTCTTGCGGAATGAAGCCATCCGTAGAGATTTGAAGCTGCCTTCCATTCAGCAGTCCATCCAGTCGAGGAATCGGCGAGTTTTAGATTGCGCTGCAACTCACGATAATCTGTTAGTCAGGGAAGCTATAGATTACGCTGTAGACGACCCCTCTCGATATAGAAGGCCCCGACACTCTGTCGAATGAGGCCACTATGTCATCCGTTAACAGATGAATAATATCTTCATCCATTTCACCCCAGCCAGGTAGGGGTACACCACGAAGGGCAGTATGAATGTCTGAGGACTTTCATGCCACCATCATAAATCAGTCATGACCCATTCGTCCCTCTGACGAAAATAAGCCCAAAGGGTAAGGGAGCAAGGCTCCAACCTGCAAGAAACGATGATGACTATCAACGTTTTGTCTTCAATCGAGGACCGCCTGCCCGGTACTGACCATGCCCAATATGCTGAAACAGATGTCTATCGGTGGCTCTTAAATTGAAATCAATATGGGAATTATCAGAAAGTACTTATCTATTCATATTTTGATTTTTATGGAATTATTTTCCAGCAGCTTGACTGCATTAACCTTTCTCGATTTTATACAGAGCTATTCAAATTCGTATCTGTACATGGGATCTCGTAAAGGATAAGAGATAGAGTGTCGGTTAAATTATGGCAAAGTTGCGTATTATAGAGACCTATTCAATGATGTGAAAAAATCGAATATAGCTCTTTTGGTTCTGGAGATATACAGGAAAAACCAAAAAAACCCAAATTATTTTTGCCTATATCTTCTTTATTCGCAGACATATTGAAAGTCTGTATCATTTTGCTATCTGAACTTGGTGTGGACTATCAGAATATATCCATGAATCTTTTATACAGGATGTTATCTGACTTGGGCTACCTCCATCTTTGAATTTTTAAATACGAACCTGTATTTTTTGTTGTAGTTTTTATATCGTCGACGTTCACTTCATACTTAGAAATCAAATTCAATTGTATATTTGCGAATGTTTCGGTAATATTTGATTATAATTGTGAGAATTAATCTTTTCTTTTAAATTACGGCCCTGGAAATTGATTGACTGAGTTAAACAAAAACACAATAGTATCTTTCACGTCTCCCTNTTTTCATTCTAAAATTCTGATTTTGTACCAGACCGGTACATGTGATGTATATCACAAGCTGTCAAAAGTTGAGAACTTGTGCGAGCTAAAGACTAACGAGGTCTTACCTTTTAACGTGTGATTCCTAACACGGTTGGAGAATTATCTCAGCTTCAACTAGATGAATTCTGTCGAGAAAAATATCTGGTCGAAGCGGGAATCGAACCCACGGTCTTCCGATCGTGAGTCGGGCGCACCACCACCGCGGCCAATTCCACAACTGTTGATACCTCATTTGAAAAAATTATTTTTTACACCATTACACCAGGAGAAAATGACAGCAACTTTTCGAAAATGCACATCTTTGAAAAATATGCTGTTATTCAGAAACGATGATAGATACCAATATCCAGTTTTCACCAATAAGTTTGTCATGAAATTTGACCCTCAGAGACAGTCATCAGTTTTCATCTATCTAGTTTGAAAACAGGAGTTTCCCTTCAAAAGTGCTCACTTTGGCCCACTCTGTACACTTCCTCAGATACTTAAAATTCAAATACTTCAAATTATAAAAACATATATGAGGCAACGAATATGAAGATTTCGATTAGTGTAGGCACGCTTAAGCAAGCTATTGTTTAGCGAAACACCTGAAACACTCAAACCACTTAATTTTCGACTGATTTCATTTTGTTTTTTCAGGTACAGGGATAATGCCAAACTACGTTCCAAAATAATGCAGGATCAACCAGTGAAACCTCTTGACGAAGCAGTATTCTGGGTGGAGTACGTTATTCGCCATAAAGGAGCTCCACACCTCAAATCGGCTGCTTTACATTTGACTTGGTATCAGAAGTACCTCATTGATATTGTATTGTTTGTAGGTTTCCTCGGTATAACTATTTCATTTTTCATCCTCTTCATCATGAAATGTATTTTTTTCAATCGTAAACTATATGTTAGTGATCATGAAAAAAATAAATAGATGCTTAGAATTGAAGCAATATTTTCCATCAAACTAGACCTACTCATAGACCTAATAAGATTCCTTCCTACTCTAATTAATCGTTTGAATTATCAGTTCGTACTTTTCTTGTACAAATGATGATTTTCGGAGGTATTGAATAACTATGATATTTAGTGTAAGTGATAACTTAAGGAATCTTAGAACACACAAGGACCATCATCAGCGTAGAGTCACTTGAATTTTCATGAAATATTGCATTTTACATTTTCGACACAAACATTCTGTTTGGTCAAATACTTTTAGCATCCCCTTAATCAAACATTATTCAGAAGCTCATAATATTCGATATTACCAGATTAATATCTGTGCAGAAATTATTTCAGTTCATTGTGAAAGGATTGAATAACATACAGCACATAATATTGAAATTTTCCCAATTATAACTACATTAACAAGGAGAATGAAACAGCATCAATTATTCGAGATATATTGATACCTTTCTCATAACGTTATATTTTTCACATATACCCACACAGCACTAGATATTCATGGAATATTCCCTCTATGTCATGAAATGAACGTATATATTCCAAATATTCATAGAATATGCTTGAGTGAATATTTACTTGGACAATTTTATGAATAAAAGTACTCGTGTGGAAAGTCGATCGGAGCAACGAGTCTTGATAAAAATGTAGTTCTAGTCGACGACATCAAACCCGCTCGTCCACCATTATTTGAAATGATGATATTTTGACCCCATCTATACATTCCCGAGAGGAAAAGAGGAAGTCCAGGGACACCCTGTATACATGGGTCATTTATTGATTGCTGCAAACCAATATCCTTCAAAGCAGCACTGAGTTTTTTATTCCATTGACGACTTGCCTGTTTTAAACCATAAATGGCACTTTCAAGCGATAAACTTTGTTTCCTCGATAAAATTCGTCTGGTGGTTGCAAATATACTTTTTTTTCAAGGTCTCCTTGCAAGAAAGCGGTAACTGCGTCCATCTGGTCTATATCCAGATCAAATTTGGCTGCTAGAGCTATCAAATACCTGACTGAATTGTAACGAACTACTGGGCTAAAAGTTTCAGTGTAATCAACCCCTTTCTTCTGAGAATAACCTTCGACTACCAGGCGACCCTGCCGGTTTCATCTCTTTTTGTTTTGAAAACCCATTAACAATTTATAGGTTTTTTGCCAGAAGGTAAGTCAACGAGAGTCCATGTGTCATTTGCTAGTAAAGAATCATATTCTTCCCGCATTGCAGTTATCTACTGATCACAATCTGGACTGCTCATCGCCGCATCAATATCTGTAGGATCACCTACTTCACCAGAAGTCTGAGTCAGATAAAGAAAGTAATCATCCATTTTCGTCTCCTTCTTAAGTCTTTCAGATTTTCTCGGGGGACTAATATTTTCTATAAATTTCCCTGATGCAAAAGGTTCTGGTTCTTCTTCATCATTTTCCTCATCGCTTCTAGTAGTTTCTGGACTTTCCCTGGTTTCACTGTTAGCTGAATTTTCCACATCAAAAATACCCTCCACTGTTTGGGTATTTTTCGAAATGCTTTCAATTTCAGAATGATTATCCAATTCCTTTTTCAAATGCGAGTCATTTTCAATAAAATGAACATCACGACTTTTAATGAGCTCATTCGAATTTGGCCTTATGAAACGATATCCTTTGGTTTCATCGCAGTAGCCCACAAAAATCAATTCTTCAGATTTCGAATTCCATTTGCGACGATTTGCTTTAGGTACGTGAACCATTACTTTACAACCAAAGATTCTGATGTGTTGCAGGTTGGGTTTCTTCCCAGTCCACATTTCTTCAAGTGTTTTCTTCATCGGTTCCAATGCTTTGAACGGAGATCGATTGATGAGGTAAACTGATGTTGCCACAGCTTCTGCCCAAAATTTTTTCTCCAAAGTCGAATCAAACAGCATACACCTTGTTTTTTAACAAATTGTACGGTTCATGCGTTGTGCTATCTTTAACATCTGTTTCAGATTTTAGAAAATGTACAAAAACTTTCCGAGTGTAGTCGTCAATTAATGTGAAAAAATATTTTGCTCCTCCCAAAGATTCATTTTCTGTTGGACCAGATAAATCGGAGTGAATTAGTTCTAACACTTGATTTGCTCTAGTGCCAATATGGTTGAATGAAAGTCGGCATTGTTTACCTTTCAAGCACGTAATACAATTCTCACAATTTCCTTGTTTGACGAACTGAACAGCTTCAACAATTCCATTTTTCATGGTATTAAGATCTTTCATATTTATGTGACCGAGTGTGCGATGCCAGAAGTAACTGTCACCCTCTGTAGATGCAATTAAAATTTTATTTGTACATTCAGTCTCAACATCCAGTATATACATTCCATTCATATATGATGCTGTTGCTATGGTTTCACTATTATCGACAATTTGACAGTTCTCTTTATTAAATGTCACATGAAAACCATTTTGTACAATTTGACTGACAGCCAACAAATTTGTTGTCAGATCAGGAACAAGCAATACATTTTTTACAGTTAAGTCTTTTATTATACCTTTAACTTTGATCTGCAAATGTATTTCACCTTCTGCTTTCACTTCAACCTTTGAATTATTGGCTACAACAATTTCTTTTATTTCGGATTCTCTCAAATTCGTGAGCAAGTCCTCGCGCATTGTCATATGAGCCGTAGCTCCCGAGTTCACAGCAAAACCTGCACAAAATCCGACGTGGGTGTTCTTAATTTTATTGTTACTAGGTCTTACATCCTCTTTATTTTTGTAGTGTTTATTTTGAAAGTCTTTCTTTTTATATAACAATCACTTGCTTTATGTCCGTATAAGTTACACTCATAACATCTAGGTCCTTTATTTTTATCCTTCTTGTCTTTGAACTGTCTGTTACCATAAAACGCACTTTCGTCTTTAGTGTTCGAACTTTTAACATCTTGCAACAACTTTGTTTTAATACTGTCTCCTGTAATAGTTATGCCTGAACTTTCGATGCCCATTATCATCGGCTTATATTCTTCCGGTAAACCTGCCAACAAAAGAGTTCCTAACCATTCTTCAGATATATTGAAACCTATGCCTCTCAGTTTGTGCAGTTCCAATACCTTTGTTTACGTAATCATCAACATTATTGCAGTTCTCGAGTCTGGTTGTAATTAAAGTTCGCAATAATCCAACTCTCCTTGTTAATCTTGAATCTTCAAAAGTTGCCTTCAGTTTGTCCCAAACAGCCTTTGCTGTCGGTGCATCTTGGATATGAACATAATTGATGGGATCAATTAGCAAAATTATTTTAGATTTGGCTTTAGTGATCTTTTTTTCATCTTTCTCTGTGCCTGTGACACACTCCCAGAGTACTTCATGTTCGAGATAAGTTTGAACTGCGAACCGCCAAGTATTGTAGTTATCTCGACCAGTGAGCTTTTCAATGGAAGATCCAAAACCATTACGTGAACTCATATTGATAAATTCAATGATGCAACATTCACTTATTGACAGATTATAACTTTTACTTTGTTGCCTGGAAATGCAATGAGGGCAGTGCAAAAGTGTAATTACAATAAGCCTGAGTTACTTCTAAACGTTATATTGAACAATAATTTGTATATATAATGATGAACTTTTATCTGACAGTCATTCATTTACATACAAATGTCAAACAATAACTAAAAATAAATGATTGATGTACAATACAGGGTGTGTTGCACTTTCAATTACCAACATAATTTCAAAACGTTCAATATAAAATTACTTTACTCACCTAATATAACACATTCAGGAAACTCATTATTTTCAATCTTTGCTCTTATTCGGCTGTTGTTGAAAATTGTTTGGTCATGGGCAGATCCAGGCCACCTTGCTATAATATCTCTAATTTTTAGATTATGGTCACATAATATTTGGGTATTGATGGGAAAAAATGATTTCCTGTTACGATATATTTCACCATCCGGCCCTCCTAATAGATAACAAATTATCTTATTATAAGTTTCCATTAGTAGCTTATTACCTGGAGATTGTATCTTGATATGTGTTCCATCTATACAGCCTAACACTTTAGGAAACCGAGCTACATTATAAAAAAATGATGTCCCAATTTGGAGTCTCTCTCTTTCCTCTGGCATAGTTATGAACTGCGGTGAAAGTCGAGCAACAGCATTTGTTACCCTCCTCACAATTCTGGAAATTGTAGTTTGATGAGCACCAACAAAATCCCCAAAGGCAGTTTAATGTCCACCACAAAAATATAACCTCAGAGTATTAAGAATTTGGTTTACTGGAGTTACACTATCATTTCTAAAAATTACGAAGTCAATCAAGATATAGGTATATTTTTCATTTATTATATGAAGATAAAAGGCGAATTTCAATTAACATGATGACAAGTCATCAATCAATTGCTCTTCCACCTAACTTTAAGAATCTTTAAGAAAAGTAATTAAAAGGCAATAGTATCGATAGTAAAGTCATGGTGCTCAACTTACTATATCTCATTTTAGGCCCGAGGAGAGTTGCTGTGTGGTATTTGTTGTTTTGATTAAGTACATGTTTAAACCAGAGTAATTTCAGTTGTGTATCTTCAGTAGAGAAAAGTAAGTGAATGAAATATATTTTGTATCATTTGTTTCAATAATTTTTTATCACTCTTTTTCAATATAGTATCTATCAATATGCCCAAAAGGAAATGGAGTAGTACCTGGTACAGGCAGGTGCGCCAAGAAACAGAAAACGTAATTGGTACTTTTCAACAAGGAAATGCAAGTTGCTCTCCAAGTCATAAGAAGTTGTAAATGTTCATGAGGAACCTATGAGAAAATTATCTATTTAATTTTCATTTCAATTTTGTTGTGCCACTTTCAAATAGTGATAATGACCGTTAATGTACATTCTGTCGCAGGTATCAATAATGAAAGACTGGCTAATGCATTATTGGACAACTATCAGGAAAACTCTTCTGGTGAACAAAGTTTGGATAACTTCAAGTAAGTGAAATTCATTGAAGAGCCCATCATACCACTGATTTCAAATACTTCATTTGTGGGTTTATTTTTTAAAGTGAGAAACCTATATCTCGCTCATTTCTTCATGTAATACATTTTTTCTTTTTCATTGAAATGGTATGTTTATCATTTTTTAATCAGAGCTGATGAATTCACAGAGTTGTTATTTTAGTATATTTTTCAATATAATTTTTTTTGGGGGTAGGATCATCCTAATTTAAATACATT